TTTGTTTCAGACCCACTATATCTTCCCAAATGAGCAATGGTGGGAGGAAAAAGATCATTCAGGCCTTCGTGTAATGGTACCAACATTCGTACTCTGGCTTCCATCTTGAAAGTTCATTCAAGAACCACCAAGAAAACGGTAAATAATTTTAAAAAAGAGAGAACAATAGAGAGAAAAACTGGAGGTCACAACAGAAAGAGGGATCATCATTTCAACTTAGATCTAAAGAGACCAATTAGAAAAGATCCAACTCAATTCATAAGACGTTTGGCACGTGAGGAGCTTCCCCTATGACAGTCCAAAGAGCAGTGAGAAAGTCTTGAAAATGAAATCGTACGTGAAACGTGTGAGGCATCATGTTCCTCTAGGACAGAAAAAAGGTTTGAGAGGGCGAGGATCATCTTAGGTTGGAAAACGATCCTGGAAATATATATATATATATATATATATATATATATATATATATATGAACTTTATTTCAATACTTCATGCGGTTCCGATGATTAATTAATGATGAACATATTTTCGTTCATGAACGATTTCATCACAATTCTTTTGTTAAGCTTGGAGAGTAATTATACATTACTATTGGTCAAAGTTGAGTTCAATAAAGTTATAAAAATCTAGAAGAATTCAGTAGGAATTATTTAATCATTTCTAAGAAACAACGCTTCTGAGCTTAATCTAACAACAACTGGTATATATATATATATATATATATATATATATATATATATATATATATATATATATATATATATATATATATATATAGTCCGTCCACCAAGAATTGACATCATTTTGTCGTCTAATAACATAGCCAATTCTCTTTCAAATCATCTCAAAACTTTTTTAAAATTATGTAAAAACTAAATCAAACGTCCAGACATATTTCAATGATAATCTACCAGGAGTAAAGATCGTGCGTGCCAGAGATAATGACAATATGCTGTTGACCTGGCCACCATGTTCACCTGACTTGACACCTTGTGATTTTTTTCTATGGGGCTATGTGAAAGGACAGGTCTATCCCCATCTTCCTGCAAGCCTAGAGGAACTTAAGCAGATAATCACCGACGTGCTGGAGAATGTTACGTAAGACATGCTACAGCGTGTTTGGCAGGAGCTGGACTACTTACTTGACGTGTGTCGTGTCACAGGTGGTGCGCTTAGTGAACATCTCTGAAGATTTATGAAATAGGTCATAAAATGTACATCCCTTTGAATATCTTATTCGAATTTTGAGAAACAATTATTGTTCTACATGAAGCTTATTTAATTTTGTTTGCCTGCGATATGTATTTACTCAGATATTCACAATTTATATGATGTCAATCGTATATATTACTTAAACTTTATATATTACTTACATCCGACAGCTTTTTATTACTTTTTTTTTTAAATCTGCGTTTAAAGCCACCAGTCAACTTTGTTTGCCCATCGACGCGCTATGTGGCCGAGCGGTTGAAGCACACCAGATCTAATGACGGTCTTACTTCCTAAGGGAACGCCGGTTCGAATCCTGCTGGAAAACGCATATTTTCTTTAATAAGATTTCTCGAGTATTCAGGTCGGTAGATGCAAATAAATAAATATACTGTTTAATAAATAAACGGATCGTCTACTCAAACACGAGTGTGCACTAAAAATAGCGTTTAGGTAATAAAAATCTGTCTGATCAATAAATAAAAAATCCATATATATTGCGTATTTGGACAGCAATCATTGTTTTATTAAAAACCATTGACAAGTTACGGAGTTTATGTTTCTATTCGTCCAAATGTTCTAAATAATTGTGCTCATTCGGTTATTCTCTTAGCCAATATCAAGTATTTTTCAAATATATATATATATATATATATATATATATATATGATTTGATAAACAGTGGCTGCTTCTAATGCAATGCTCTTCAACTAGAATCGAGCTCTCTTAGCCACTCACGTCTTTCGTATAGTAAAAGCGTTAAAATTTCCTTTCTCTTTGCCAGAGAATCTCTGATCGGTCGGATTTCATTCCCGGCTTGTGCAAACGGATGTCTAGCCACACTGATGAGCTGTGATACAGCAAAACAGTATGTCTGTGGATCACTATATATATATATATATATATATATATATATATATATATATATATATGAATTACATAAAAATGATACTCAACTGTACCACATTTTTATGGCCATTTCTCTCTTCGGGATAAAGTCAATACTAAAACGTTTTTATAGACCAAACATTTCAGTCTTGACAAGCTTCAGGGAATTTATTCCGAGGAGCGAAATGGTCATAAAAATCGGGTACAATTGGGTTTCATTTTTATGTAATTCATTTCTATGCTCTATAATAAATATAGCGAGCTCTCTTTTGTGGATCAGTTTTAATATTTTATATTAATGGGATTTCACTTGGATTACCTACCCACGGATTTTTACCTATATATATGGCGGACTCTCCCGTCGTATTTGACGTATGAGGGTCAAGCAGCTCAGTTCCTAGGAACCAACAGCCCAGACACCAGCACATATGATTTGATTATAGTGGTGAAGGCTTTGTGCAGAACCATCCACACTTTTTAAAAGGCCGAATACAGAGACCTGGTGCACTACGGGCCACAAAGTCTCCAAACACCTCTCCGCAGGGTTTGAATTCAGGGTTGTCCTTCTCCTAGGCCAGTTGCCATCTAAGGCTATAAAACTCAGTCTGTCCTGCTATTTATCCATGACTGGGGGGAGAAATACCTTTTCCAAGGGTATTAGCAAGTAAGTGAATGTAATGGATTTTACTGGAATCTGAACTCGGCTATCCGATTCCTCAATCCGAGCCGTATTTACGTATATATATATATATATATATATATATATATATATATATATATATATATATATATATGTGTGTGTGTGTGTGTGTGTGTGTGGGGAGAGAGGGAGAGAGAGAGAGAGAGATAGGAATGTTTCTTTTTACTTTTCAAAACACGGTCAGTACGTTGTAGCCTTGGTTATAGTCGATATTATTGGGTGTTAGCTTTCCTGATGATGGCTTTTAGAATGGTTGAAAAAGCTTGGATATATAGGACATTTGAACAGGTTTCACACACCTTATATCCAGCAAACGTTACCCGGGAAATGTTGTGGGTATAAAATTTTTAAATGATCTAGTGATCTCACCAGTGATCCCCAACAAAACACGTCTACGCCGTTGCTTAGCATCCGTGAAATATTTAACAAAAAGCCGGTGTAAATCTCCCAGAAGACATCTGTACATCCGCTGCTCTATCATCTGAAGATCCGAAAATATTCCTTTTTTCACGGCGATTAGTGAATGCCAAGAATTTACACGTCTTCTAAAAGGAGATCAAAATGCATTTTGAATATATTGGGAGATGGCAACTCTGCTTTATATACAATGTCCCCCTTCCGCTGTCTTAAAAGCTTTTTTAATCCAATGTTCCGATTATTGACGTTTTCTTCGTTTCGCCGGTGCTGTCTGTTATATCATTTCACAATTCGTTTCTTTTGCTTATTTGATATAATGGCTGCCATGAGGTTAATAAATAAATAACCCCAGAGTCAGTGTCTATTTAAACAACCACTTCTATCCTACGCAGTCTTCGCCAATCACGAAATCGAATGCCTTGTAAATGTGACTGGAGTGGAAAAATAATGCCGGCCCTCCACGGTTCAATGGTAATTTTCTCTGTCCCAGGTTCAGTAACAAATGCCGCAGAGTCCATAATGGGACCTCATTAGACGATGGCTTCTAAACCCCATGCACTGTAGTGTGCACCCTTCAATGTGATGAATGATGGGGTGAGCGTCACCAACGTTAAATTGGTGATATTACATATAGTTGCGTGATTAGCATCCTTATCAGTCGTCAGCGGTCCCCTTGTCATGTATCTCAAAGCAAACCACGTTAGGAATGCACATATTACTGGAATACACTTGCTACCTTTGCCGAGAAAAACATAGTAGAGTTACGACCTCAGAGATAGAGTACCGCATTCTGTGCCCAAGTCATTTCATAATTAAATGATCTGCGTTCCATAACTATCACAGCTACACTATCACAGCTACTCTACTTCTTTTCTTCTACGGCAAACATATGTTATCTGGCTGAGTTCGTTTCGACAAGTGCCAAAAAAGGTAATTTCGTGGCAGCTCAAAGTAATGTTCTTTTTCGACAGCATAAAATATTTTTGTAATGAAAATTTGATTTCTGAAAATGAATGCAATTTTACAATCTGGTCTCCTGAAGAGTTGATACAATTCCGTGAAACTCAGAGTAGAAACAACATAAATGAACATTTCATTTTTATATATTACTCGTAAAGTTTCTCTCGATTGATATCAAGCAATATAATTACAAAGATTGCTGGCATATGGCGACACGACGCTAAAAAAACCGTAAGGTCAACGAAGTTATGAACCTCAAGCCTGATCAATACCAAGGTGATCGCTTGAGAATACCAGTAGCTGTAAGCTTAGATGTGTACGTGGTGTAATGGATTGGAATTGTTAATCGGAGAGCCGAGTTCCAATTCCAGTGGGATTCATTATAATCACTTACACGTAAATAACCTTGGAAAGTTATGAATCCACCTCTTATCAGCCAATTATGGATTAATTAGTAGAACATGTATCAGTAAATCATTATCTCCAAATATTCTTACAGACAAAAAATATTTTCAAGTTTTAAGTTTAGTTTGATAAGCCGTAAAAAAAAAAGATTAAACAATAAAATACAAATACTGCTTACTCTAAAATGTCATCTCTCAGAAGTACTCTAGTTGAAAGTATTTATTGGCGTTACACAATTTTATTATATATATATATATATATATATATATATATATATATATATATATATATATATATATATAGTAAGGTAATGAAGGGTTTGTTAATCCGTGTGGATAATTCCAAAGAGGATGTGATCCAGAGAGCTCAATGTAATACCAGAGCAAATATTAATGTGTGTGTGTGAATCAAATGAGACGGATAC